TAAACCTAATTATCTCCCAAGGGCCTCACCTTCAAATATCATCACATTTGGTGGAGGAGACACAAACATTCATCCTATAACATTTTGCCCATGGGTTCCCCCAAATCATGTCCTTCTTGCACGCAAAATAGATTAATTCCATCCTAACAGCACCAAAAGTATTAACTCATTCCAGCATCATCTCAAGTCTAAAATTCAAAGCCTTATCTAAATATCGTCTAAATCTGATATGAATGAGACTCAAGATAATTCATGCTGCGACAGATTTCCTGTCCAGCTGTGAACCTGTGAAACATACAAGTTATGTGCTTCCAAAATACTATGGTCGGACAGGCAGCAGATAGGCATTTTTGTTCCAAAAAGGAGAAATTAGAGGAGAAAAAAGGAGTCACAGCTTCCAACAAGTCCAAAATTTAGCAAGGTAAATTTCATGAGATCTTAAGGCTCAAGAATAATCCTTTTAGGTTTAGTGCTCAATGCTCTGCCCTCTGGACCTATTGGAGTATGGAGGTCATGTGTTGTCCCTGGCCTTCCCAATCCCCCATGCTCCAGGCTGTCACTCTTGAGTCTCTGAACTGTTGAATCTGAGGCAATTCCTCCTAGAACAAGATTATCTCTGAATCACCTTTGCAGCCATTGTTTTGTTGTTGTTAATCCTTACCTGAGGATATTTTTACCATTGACTTTTTTTAGAGAGTGGAAGGGAGGGAGAGGGAAGAGAGAGACATTGATGTGAGAGAGACAAAGTGATCGGTTGCCTCCCCTACGTACCCGACTGGGGCAGGGGATCAAATCAGTCACCCCGGTATGTGCCCCTGACCCCTGACCAGGAATGGAACCCATGACCCTTTGGTACATGGGTCAACATTCTAACCAGTGAGTAACACTGGCCAGGGCTGGAGTCATTATTTTCTTTTCTTGAAAATAGTGCACATTCACAGCCAAAATAGCTCTATGGTCCAGTGCTGTAGGACTTAAGAATTCCTAGCAACCCTTTACCTGTAGCACTTGGTATGGAGCATCGGACAGTTCCACAAGGCTTGTTTTCAGATATACAACAGTCTTCTCTCTTCTACCATTTTCTTCATCTTCAGAGGTAACTAATTTATATTTTAGCAGATTCTTTTGAAGTTTGGCTCCATAATCTAACATGCTTATATTACTGCTTCTTGACTTT